AGCAGCAAGGTGTATCCTACCTTCAGATAAAGTCAGATGCAGCTCAGCACCCAGAAGGGAGAACTACCTGTGCCAAGCATTGCTTGCAGCAGCGCATCCAGCCCACCCCTCCCTGCACAGGAGCACACAGGCTGAGTCTGCACACACACACAGGGCTCTAGACAAGGGGCCTAACTCAAATTGGGAACAACGACCACAGAAGCTAAAGCCCATTAAAATCCCTTCCCAGATCCCCTGATGCATTCACCAGCCTTAATCCACACAAGACAGAAGGCACCAGTAGTGCTCTATCAGCAAATGGCAGCATTTGCACACTATTTAAATGTGCTTTTGCATATGGGAGTCTCTTGCTCAGTGCTCATGATCCCGTAACGACAGGAGATATTATGGGAAACAGCAGAGAAACCCTCACTCTGTATTACTTGCCGTCCCCAGAGACCTTGTGTGAAGGTGCTTTCTTCTTCTAAGAGGGAATAAAAGTAAAGAGAGATCCCTGAACAACTCAGCCTGAAGAAACACACAACAAAACCTTGAGAAGGCGATTTTGTCACAGCTCAGAGGCAGAGTTTCATAGGAGAGCTGCTTCCCAACAAGCTCACAATGCAAAGGGCATTGCTGCGCTCCAGGTGCAACAAAAACATCCCAGCACAGCACCCGGCTCCGGTGCTGCTCAGTGCTTTTCCTCCTAAGCACACGTCCAGGTCCTTCCCAGTTGCTCTGAAGCCCCGTGTTAAACAGCACAGCTGGACAGATGTTCCCCCATCCAAAGCTCAGTGTATTTTGTGCCGCTGTCTCACGTCTGAATTGCAGAATTCACCTCTTCCCGGCAGAGAACAGAGAGGAGGAATGGCAGCAACAGCCCAGCCAAAGGCAGGTAAAGCAGAAATGGATTGACCTCTATTTTGAACGCCACGCCGAGTCGCCGGCGTCGCTCTGCTCTCTGCGCTTTCTCACTCGCTCCCTTCGCACAGCAGCAGCTCCCGGGAGCCGGAGGGGAAAAGGCGAACAGCAAAGCACGGCACGGCACAACACGGGGCGGCCCCACAGCCGGGCCGAGAACAGCTGAAAGGTCGCAGCCACAGCACATGAAAACCGACACCGGATTCACCATCGAGGAAAGCGCAGCCCGGAATCCAGGCCAGCAACGCGGCCCTCGGGGTCCCACCGCTGTCGATCTCCCCCCGCCGTGCCCAGGAGCGCGGGCTGAGCCGCTGCTACTCGGAGCGAACCCTCCGCCCCTCACCGCAGCCCTCGGGGCAGCAGGGAGAGCTTCCACGGCACCGAGCGGACACCGTGCCCTCCCCAAAGCACGACCACGCACTAAGCAAGCGCCCGGACCCCTCCTGACCCTCCGTCCCTCAAACCATCAGGCTCCCATCGCTCGGACCCAACGTCGGTGCGGATTGAGCACCGCCACCGGCCCGAGCGCGGCGGCTCCGACGGGACGGGACGGACCTCGAATCCCGGCCCCAGCACTTCCCTGCGGTCCCCTCTAAGCGCTCACCTTGGCGGTGCCGCCCGCCCGCCGACATCGCGGCACCCGGCCGCCCCGGTCCCGCTCCGCCCCGGCCCCGCTCCGCCTCGCTCCGCCCGCCGGAGGACGGCTGTCCGTCCCTCCCGCCCCACGCAGGAGCCGGGGCCGGCCCTGAGGCCCTGACCGCAGCACGAAGTCTTTGGGACAGCAGCAGCGTGCAGCGGGCTTCCATCCCCCCCCAAAAAGAAACCCAGAGGGATCCGTGATGGGAAGAGCACCGGGTTGCTGCCGGTACCGAGGAAATGAGAGCACAGGGCGAGCACAGAGTGTGGGAGGAGACAGCTTTCTGCTTGTGGTCTCCCGGAACACACAGAGCAAATCTCCGTTTGGCCTTCTGACTGCACAGCACGCAGGTGTGTATCACAGCACTGCCTCCACGTGCTGCTCCCCTCTGCTGAGCCCCCTGGTGCTGCAGAACGGTGACACAAAGCATCGCTGCTGTGTGTGAGGTTCAGCAGTGAGCACAAATGCATCCTGGGCTCCTGCATCCCTACCACTGAGCACACAGAATCACACAATGGCCAGGGTTGGAAGGGACCTCAAGGATCATGAATCTCCAACCCCCCTGCCACATGCAGGGCCACCAACCTTCCCATTTAATGCTAGACCAGGCAGCCTAGGGCCCCATCCAACCTGGCCTTGAACACCTCCAGGAAGGTGTTCACACGTACCTGTGCTGCACTTGCTGACCTCCTGCAGGAACGTGCGGGTGTGTGAACCAAAAGGCAGCTGCACTGTGAGCCCATCGCCTTGGGAGCGGATCCGAACGGTCACATCTGAACCTGTGACACCAGGAGGAGGAGAGGAGCATGCATCAGTGCTGCCCGTTGCTCAGGAACAGCCCCATCTCTGCTCCCTGCAGCTAAGCATGCCTCTGCAGGCTTTCATCAGCAGGTTTGCCCAGGTTTTACCATTTCACTTTCACATTTTGCGTGAGGATGTAATTAAAGAAATGCAAAAATCACTCTCTGAAATATGTTTTGTTCTGGGAACGCGATGGAAACAGGGATGGGTACCCTGGGAGGAGCACAGGATGCTGCCAGGCTGCACGGGGGGGGGGGGTCAGAAAGACCAAGACTCAGCTGGAACTGGATTTGGCAAGGGGCACAAAGAAGGATAAGATGGGTTTCAATAGGTAACAGCAACTGGGAAAGGAAAGTCCAGGAGGGTGCACCACCCCTTAATGAGCAACAAAGCCAGGCTGGTGACAACAGACCAGGAGAAGGCTGGCTGGGCTGTGGGTGTCCTGGGCTGCAGAGTTGGACCAGATGTCCTTCAAGGGTCCCTTTCAACTCAAACCATTCTGTGATTCTATGATTCAGTGGCTGCAGCAGCACAGGCATAACAGCAACAGCAAAACTCACCAATGACGTGAAGGTCACCATCAGGTATCACTGCAAACAGAAACAAAAGTGCCATTACAAAGCTGAGTGACAGGATTGTAGCATTTGATTTAATACTTTGAGGTTGGATTACTGAGCACAGCCGTCAGATTCTGTCTATCTGCTCCCTGAAGGCACAGGGGTGGGCAGTGCAGCCCTGCAGGAGCCCAGAGTGCTGCTCTGGATTGCAGGATTGATAAAGCAGAGCCCTTCAGCTGGGCCATAAGAAGCATCAGTTTCACCAAGGATTACAAACTGATGAGAAAACGTGATGGGCTGAGTAGATCCCAAAGCACAGCAAGTAAACAACGAAATACAGACTCCACATCCCTCCATCCCCTCCTCTGGAGGTGGCCACTGAGCCCCGAAGCGCGTGAATACCTTCTTCCACTGCAAACCCCTCTGAGATGGGGATAACCCTCTCCAGCCACACGTCCTCCGCAGCGATGGCCATCCGCCGGTGGGTGTAAACGTAGATCCTGCGAACACGGAGCAGAGGCGGAGGGAATGGCCTCGGTCCGGGCAGATCCCACCCCACACAAATCCCTCCCCCTCCCCAAGCACAAGCCCGCTTTGCCCCATCTCGGCACCCACGCGTGCTGCCCGCCGCGCTCCACCAGGCCCAGCAGCCGGCTCTCCACGCTCTGCCCCGCAGCCACGGCTCCTTGCACGGCGTGCGGCGTGGGTCAAGGAACGGCAAACTGAGATGGGAGTCGAGGGGTCAGAAAGGGAAGAGAAAAAGAGCGAACTCGACAGCCCTTCCCTGGACGCGCACGGGGCAAAGGATATGATTCGACACGTCGCCCCATCGAGAAGCGTCTCCTGGATGGCCACCGACTGGTCCATCCTCCGGGCCGGCGGTCAGCGTGGAGCTCGGGGGGACCGGGATGGGGGTTGGGACGGGGATGGGGGTCGGGTCCGCGATGCGGCCGCGCTCGGTGTCGCCGTTGCCGGGAGCCGCCGCCGCCCCGTCGCCCCTCTCCCCGCCCCGCGCTCCCGGCCTGCCCCAGGGCTCCCTTAACCCTTCGGCTCCGGCCGCAGGGACGGAGCTGCGCCTGTGCGGCCCCGCGAGGATCTCCGGGCTTCGGCAGCCGCTGCTGGCGCTCCTCACCGCGGCCGGAACCGCCGCCCTCCGCCCGGACAGAGGCTCGCAAAGCGCCAGGAAGCGACCGAGCATCATTTCCCTCTCCGCTGGATGGGACCGGGAAGGATTTTTAAACGGGATGCTGCTTGGTTAATGGGGCGGAGAGCCGGGAGAGCGGCGAGAAAGGCTGAGCAGAAGCGGAGTACAGGCGAGGGGGGGCACGGAGCGTCCTCAGGCTGAGGGTACTGCGTGTACAGAGCCGGGCCTGCGGCAATGCAGAGCCGCTGACTTCCTACTGCCATCAGGAAGGGCTCTTTTTTGCGGTAGCACCTGGAATGTTTTGTTAAATGTCGTGACCCAGCTGACTTCCGAGCTTTAATTATGCAAAGAACTGGTGCAAAGGGTGAAAGCAGGTGCTGGGAAATGTCAGCAGGCGCTGACGTGCCCAACAGGGGAGCTCTGTGAGTCAGCTCTTTCCGCTGTAAGTAACAGCAAAAGTCGGGCAGATACGGAAAAAGCAGCAGCCCGTGCTTTCTGCTCCCTTATCGGCAATGGTGCTGAGCAGATAAAAGACTGCAAAGAGGAAAGGAAAGGAGAACAGTGAGAAATATCAGCTACAAACTCCAGAGCGCTCCTGCAAGAAACGTGGTGCTGCGAGTCGGTTCTGAAACAGGAATATCATAGAGCTCCGTCCTGTTGTCACTTTCTGCTGATACACTGATGTGACAACACGGCCCAGGCTGCGGCATGGCTTTGGTGCAGCATCACTGCAGCGTGGAGGGGCTGGTGATGGCTGCACACTGCCTGCCCTCAGCCCCACATCCACTGCGTGGAGCTCCCAGCAAAGCCATCCTTCCTGCTGCTGTCCCAGCACAGCCCTATGGCTGGGATCCCCTTCCCATCGCATCCATCGAGCTGAGCTGTGCCCGAAGGAGCCTGACATCGACCCAAGGGACTGATGCTTCTTTATTATTGTTATTATTTTATTATTTTCTTAAAAGAGAACAGGAAGAGGACAGAATGTGTTTGTGCAGTGGCAGCACAGAGCCGTTACCAGCTGCCTGTGATGCAGGAACAGGCTGGGAGCACAGGGACCAGCTCCTGTTACAGACTCATGTTCGTGTCTCTGCCCTACTTTTACCCATAGAGAATCACAGATATGAAACAGGAGGTCTAACACAATGCTTCTCAGCCCCATTTCTCTGCCCAAGATCTGGAGACAAAACAGCACAGCCTACTGGGACAGGAGGTATTATTTAGAAACTAAGTGGGTGTTCAGACAGCTGCGAACAGGTTGTAACTACATTGTGTAAGCTGTGCCTTGGGTCAAGGCAGAGGTTCCTGGGTTCCAAGCTGGCTCAGCACCCTCTCCTATACCTGAGGTCTCTCCTTCCAGCATCCACCATCCCTGCAGTACAGAGGTGCAATGCTGCAGCTCACAGCTCCTGGAGATGACGTGTAATGGGGATCACCTGCATGGGGGGAGAAATCACCATCTACAAACTCCAGGGATCTACAAGCATGGGGATGCAACAGAGGGTGTTTGATAGTGACCTCAGCTGAAATCAAGGAGGGGAAAGGCTGCAGGTCTGCTGTTTACCCGTGTAGGGGAGTGGAGGCCTTGCAGCTCAGGAGGAGGGCTGCCCCCCACACCAGGAGCTGCAGCAGTGGGGACACAGCCACCTGCCCAGCACCGTTCACATGAACTTTGCCATCCAGCTTCAGGCAGCTGCCATTCATGGTGGCGGGGCAGCACTCCTGGAAGCAGGCAGCCTTCACCCCCTGGGCACAGACAGGCTTGGCAGCCTTGCAGGCTCTGCTGCATCCTGCCACGTAATTGAAGCCCGTCTTCTTCATCTGGAAGGAGGAGAGAGATTCATCTGCTGGTCCTGCTCAGCCTCTGGCATTTGCATTGAGGGGATGCACACAGACTGCAGCACATCCCCCCTGTCCTGTCCCAGCCATACCTCACAGAAATCATGCCCAACAAAGCATCTAGTCGTGCTCTTCTTGCCTTTGAAGCATCCATCCCCATGGCAGGAGAACGCTGCACAGATTTTCCCCTGTAAGACAAGACCAGAGGAGACCTGTGCAAGTGTGGTGCAGGCAGCAGGATGCCCAGGTCCAGATCTGGACCTTGGGCAGCCCTTCCTTCCACAGTGCCCTCCCAAACCTTCACTGCATCTCAGCATTTGCCATCATCTGTCTCCGGCATTTCACACTCAGAGATAAGAGACAGCTCCCATCTGCCACTGCAGGAAACCTCACTGCAATGCCACCACAAGTTTCAAACCTCCTTTTCCTTCCTCTCAGTGAGGCTGGGCAGAGATAAAGCTCTTTCCAGCCCATCACTTGGGTGCCCCAGCATCACCCCACCCCTTCTGTGGCTCAAAGAGACTCTGTCCCACAGCCAGCTCAGGCTGCTTGGAGCAATGCAGATGCTGTGCTTAGCACCCTTACATCTCCATCCTTGCAAAGCTCATTAAGGATTTGCTCCCCTTTTGAGGCAGCTTTTGCACAGAGATCACATCGGGTACCTACGTTTCGTGGGGGGGGGGCGCGGGATCGTGGTGGTGGTGATGGTGGTCGTGGGTGGCACAGTGGTGGGGGGCAGATCACCTGTGGGCACAGAGGAGCCCTGAGGACACAGCCCACATATGGCCTCCTTGGGGCAGAGGAACTGCAGCCATGCAGCCAGCCCAACACGATGGGTCTGCACACCCATTTCTCTTGCATGCAGTGGGATAAACCACGGAGCAGTTACCATAGGAGCTCGCATTGAGCTGCAGGCAGAGTGAGGTGTTGCAGCACTCCACGGTGCACTGCTGTAGGGCCATGCTGCCATTGGTCCTGCACGGCTCTGCCCTGCACACACTGCTGCACCTGGCAGTGTAGTTCGTGCTGGAGAAACGATAAAGCTGCAACAGCAGAGCCAAAGGGAAAAAAAACAAACAAACAAACACTAGAAGTGTGAAGAGAGGCAATTACAGAGGAGCAAAAATAATGGACAGACTGTGAGAGAGGCAAAGGAAAATCAGGTGTTGTGCTCACAGCCACCGTAAGCTCCATACCTCACACAAGGTCTCATTGTGGCAGGTGGCCGTCGTGTTCCTGTGGGCTTCATCCTGGTAGCACCTCTCCCCGAAGCACTGGAAGCTCTGACAGCTGAGCTGGGGGGAGGACGTGCCAGGGGTCACAGCGCAGCAGAGCTTCTGCATGGCCAGCGTCCCCCTTCCCTCTCCTTACCAGGGTTTGTTCTGTAAGGTTCATGGACGAATTGGCAGCCACTGAAGCCTGGCTGATGGCCACCAGGGTGGTGGTGGTGGTCACTGAGGTGTGGTTGGAGGCAGCCATTGAGGTGGCAGACATCGAGGTCTGCTTGGTGGCCAGCAATGCCTGGTTGGAGGTGGCCATTGAGATCTGCTTGGTGGCCACCAATGCCTGGTTGGAGGCAGCCATTGAGGCACTGGTGGTAGCCAGTGAGCTCTGCTTGGTGGCCACCAATGCCTGGTTGGTGACAACCACTGAGGTGTTGGCAGCAGCCACCAAGGTCTGCTTGGTGGCCACAGAAGCTTTGGTGGCAGCCACCGAGGCATGGTTGGTGGCTGTTATGGACACGTTGACCACTTTGCGCCCTGAAAAACACAGAGTTCCCCCTTGGTGAAGGAAATAGCATCCATGTGCTTAACAAGTTGTGGTTCCCTATCCCAAACAAAAGCAAAGACCCATTTGCAACCAGCAGTGAGGAGCCTGCCCAGCAGGTCAGAGATAATCACTGATTATGGAAATGTTACAGCAGCTTCTCCCTTCCCCTTCAAGGCACACTGCATAGGAGATTACAGCCATTTCTGGGGTCAAAACCCCAAGAAAAGTTTCTTTTGCACAGCTCTGTCTGATAGCTTACAGCCAAGAGAGGACAGGGACATTGTCCCATCACACCAAGTCGCCTTTGCCCCGTTCCCAAAAGGATCCTCTCCTGTGCACTCACCTGCTATGGCCAGAGGGCCCTGGGTGCAGAAGTGCAGAGCCAAGACAGAGAGCAGCAGGCCTGAAACAGAGCAGAGACAACTGGGACCATCAAAGGCCAAGTTCAGCTCTGGCAGCCTCTGCGTTGGTGGGTTGGTTGGTCTGTGGGGTACCAGCTCTGGGATGGACTGCTCAGAGCACACATTACCTTGAGCAGGGAGGAGCTGCCGGTGAGCTGCCATCGTCCCCACCAGCAACCTCAGCTGGGACCTGGCAGACAGATGCAATCAGAACTGGGCAATCAGAATCAGCTCATCACCCAGAAGTTATCCTTCTGGTTTGGCATCAGGGACCAAGAGCCAGGCCCTTCCAGTCTCGGTTGCAGCAGCAGAAGGCTGAACAAGGACTGAGGAATCCTGGAAGCACTTCTCCCCATGGGCTCAGCCCAGCCCTGCTAAACAGGAGCCCCCTGGGAGGCCACGTGCTGCCGTTGGTGTGGTAACCCTCCACCCTCATGTAACAGAGCTCTGAGAGGCACCAGCTTGGCACCACACACAGCAAACTGCTGATGCTGTTGTAAATGAAGAAGCTGCCCAGCTCAGGATGGAGGCACACACATCCCCGTTGCATGGAATTCTGAATCCAGTCGTCTGCATTGCTTCCCAACGCTGATCCCCACACTGCTCACACTGTGGGGGGGGGGGGGGAGTTCTACCTCCTCAGGTGTTTCCTGAGATACACTACTCTCCATTGAATGAAAGCAGACGTTTTCCTTGCAAAATCTTTGCCAATTCAAGATAGGAAACAGCGGAGATAACTCCAAACAGGTTCCAAGGCTGTTTTCTGAATACTCCCCTTCTGCCTTAGCATTTAAGCTCAGATAGCATTCCTAGGGCACTCTTTCAGAGTGACAGAAAACAACACAGGCTGGAGTTTGTCACCTCCCAGAGCAAGGCAGCCCCCCCACCCAGAGCAGGTTAGGAGAGCCCTTACAGAGGAGGGTAGAGCTCCAGCACAGCCAGGCTCACCTCCACAACAGGCTGAGGTCAAACCAGAAAAGGCTCACCCCAAAACAAGCTTCTCCCCCCAAGCAGGGAAAGGAATCTGCTCACAGACTCACCCTGTGTCCGTGCCCTGAAAGCCCCTGCGTGCCAGAGGAAGCCTGCAGCTGCTGCAAGAGATGGAGAGCCTCTGAGCACCGAGCAGCTGCAGCACCTGCAGCACAGCTCACACCCTGGTGCCAGTGAGCAGCCCCAGCCTGCCAACCAGCAGCTGCACAAACCGTCACCCAGGGAGAAGGGTTTGTTACCTGCAGCTCTGCTGGATTTGGAGATGCAAACGTCTGTGTGCAGCAAAAAACAGAGAAAGGGATTTTTGAGGCTAGAGGTGTCACTCCAGAACATCTATACCGAAATGAAAGCCCACTGTAGGCAGTGTGAGGGCTGCCACAAAGCACAAGGCCTCTGCCCAACGCCTCTTTTCTCCTCATGAACTTTAATTCGTGTGGCAGTACCACAGTTCAAGAGAAGCAAAGGAAGGATCCATGCTAGCATCTGCTAAAGTCAGCGCCAGCGCTGGACAAACTAACACAAACTACCCACACGGCAGCCCATCCTAAACAAAGCTCATTTATTGGTTCCCTGAAAAAAATCCCAGTAGCCAAAGCCTCACAGGAAGCCTGACTTGAAGCCAAAGCAGCAATGCAAGCCAAATATCTGCTCTGCAAAGGAGCACAGACAGACATTAAACTATTATACAGTACAAGATTGTCAGCATGCAATGCTCGTGTGTGCTTTAAAGAAGGCAGTCCTCATCATAAAAACTTCTATCAGCACTGGAATAAGAGAGAAGTAATTGTTTCTAACAATTCAAACCGTGTAGAAAGTTTCTGAAAGACACCATTATCAAATCTCCTCCTTCCAGCACACAAAAGGAGACGCATTTTCAGCACTTCCTAAGTTAAAATCCATTTATTTTTAAGGTTTTTAATATAAAATAACATCACAAGGCTGCTTCTCACAGAGGGCTTACTAGAAAGCAATTCTATGAAGTATCCTATGTTCATGCAAGTAGAAAAAAAATCAATAAGCTGAAGAACTGGAGCTGGTGACACTTCTTTTTTTTTTTCTGATGTGAAATCCTTCACCTGGGAAAAGTTACAGCAGCCCCTGACGTTTCAAGTCTTCGTAGGTCTTCTTGTTCACCACATTCCCACTGGAGTCCTCATATTCCTCCTGGAATAGAATGAACAGTTTAGGGACACCTGCATGCAGCCTGACTCAGGTTGTGCTACAACATTCACAGTTTAGCTCCAGTTCCATCTGAGCACAGCCACTCTGCCAGGAGCCTCCCTACATGAAGACATGCAGGGCATCTACCAGCAAGCTCAGCACGATCTTATCTAGACTCAGAATCATGACAGAAGGCTCTGAAGTGTCCTGGAGACCTCAGCCTGTGATACAGCTTGTGTTAGAAACTCTCCAGCCAGAGCCACTTCATGCAAGGTAGATGAAGACCCCCAAGTACACTGGACTAGAAACACCCCAGTGCCTCTACCACCTTACCTCTGTGTCAGGCTGCCACCTCTCTGAAGCCTTCTGTAGTTTCAGCTTTGCCCACACTGTAAACACAAAGGCATTCACAACATGAGCACCATTTCACTTCAAACGCTGCGTTTGAAACTACTGAAATGCATCAGCTTTTAAAAAAATTCAATAAAATAAAATAAATCCCAACCACTGTCACTTCTGTGCCTTTCACTGAGTACTGCAGGCTTTCAAAACCTCCCTGGAGGCTCCACCATTTCTGAATGTTTTGCTGGCTTCCCCATGGAGACTGTGAGGAGCATCAGTGAAGTAACACTTGCATGGGATCACACAGTCACACTCTGAATAAATGGTGGCCCTGCTACACATGGCTGAGATTCCATACACAAAGCACTGCAGACAAAAAAGCTGGCAACAAACAGACACTTGGCTGGCATTCCTAGCAAACATCTATTTCTGCAGGTATCCAGCAAGAAACAAAGACATTCTCCCTCTAAGAACTGTGAGAGATGTTCCAATGAAGGGTCATCCCAGCAGCACTGTGCTTCTTACACTCCTCCCTTAGTCACCAGTTGTGGGGTAATACATTCCTGGCCCCAGCCAGCAAATACCAGCGTTCTCCTAGCACAGTCCCTGTGCAAAGAAATGCCATCTAGACTTACGTGAGACAGCATCCTCAATCTGTGTGACATTGGCAAAATGTGCAGTGTTGGGAATGCCCAGGCATCTCATCCCATGAGCGTGACGCCACTCCTGGGAACGAGAGGCAAAAGTCACTGAGAGGGAATGGCACCTCACCACAGCCTGCTGGGAGGCCTATGATGAGCTAAGCAGCGTAAAACAAATGCTAACAAAACACAGATCTCCCAAACATTGTTTTTTTTCTGATGGTAACAAGACACTGAGTGCTCTGCATCAATCAGGCCTGGATATCGGTGTTCAAACAAGAGACTGGATATAAATTGGCAGAACAGATCTTTGCACCCTCTGGGGAATTTCCAGTTTCAATAGCATGGCCTTGCAGCATCGGTGCAGACACACATTTTGTAAATGGAAGAAATGCCACTCAGATGCTCGTGTCATTTTCTCATCACTTACTATAAAGATTGTCTGAATGTGGCACTGATGGTTCTTGTGACCAAACCTCACTTACTGCAAAATGGCGTTGAAAAGCTTTGGGCCCTCTGTAGGTGTAGTTACCACAGATCTCACAGTTGTAGTTGATGTTTAAACCATGCAATTTATACAACCAGTACGGGATTGGCTGAGAAGGGAAGACAAACAAAGATTAGGCCAAGTGACAAGGGAGCTTCAAACAGAAGAGTGAAGTGGGATCTCCCACTGGTTCAGAGCTAAATCCAGACCTAACAGCCTCAGCTACCTTGCCATCCCAACCAAGGGGCAGATTTTTAGGATTATAAATGATTTCATTTTCTTCATCCTCGCTCTCGCTCTCGCTGATCTGCTCTTCTTCCTCCTCCTCCCTCTCCTCCCCTGTCCGCGCCTGCTTACGCTGCACGTTCTCATGAGTGAGGTGTCTCTGTTCCTGGAGTGTGAGGAAACAGAACTGTGTTCACACAACAGCAATAAAATAAGATGGCAAGTCAATGGCAGCTGCCACCGTACCCAAACTGAAGCAAGGATTTAAGGCAAGCATTAAGGAGGAGTAAGAAAGAAAGAAAGGCAGGCAGTTTCTCCACAGGAAATATGTAAACTTCTGGAAAGAAAAGCAGTTCTTGTGGACACAGTCTATGGAGACGCTGGGTGAAAACAGAATGATCTTCTGGTCACTGCTGGACAGGTCTGTAACCAAAAGCTCAAAGACAAAATTCTTACCCCAAGAACTTCTACATATTCATATATCTGAGCTTCCAGGAATGCAAGATCTTTATTTCTTTCAGTGTCTCTGAAAGCAGAGAAGGGAAATTTCACTAAGTCCATTCCAGAACTGCAAACACCAAACACGTGAACTCCTAAGGACACCTTTGACTCCAGTGCAGCAAGAGAAGGAAACAGCTGACATAAACTAAACTGCATGCAAACTACTCAGCTCTGATATCTCACATTTGGTTCAGGACCAACATAAAAGGATTCCAACGCTCTGGGAATCTAACACAACTATACAGTGCTGATGTTTATCCCCCAGTGATGGGATCAGCACCGACCTGAGAACGGCCTTTAAGAACTCACCTTTTGATTCCCTTTGTCTTTGGATTCTTAGCAAACAAGGAAGGATCCAGTGCTTCCAGGGACTTGCCTTTAGTACTAAAAAGTCTCTGCGCACGCTCTTCCAGAGTCCTGTGGAGAAACAGGGAGGAGATGAACTCAGATCACTTCTTTTCTATTTCCAGAATATTATCTGAATTCGTGCAGCTCCATCATAAATCCAGCTTTTAACAGGTGAAGAGCTTTTCTATGATCTTTGTTTTTTAGACCAAATTCTCCTACATGACAGACTTCAGTACGGCACGCTTTTCAGAACTGTACATCACAGAATTCCCTGATTGGCTTTCAACGTGTTGAACATCATTAAAGTAATTCTTGTACAGTAGAGAAGCCAAATAAATATCCCATAAAGGAATGCAAGGTGGCAAGACCTCAAAAACTGAAAAGGATTTAGGAAAAGAGCACATCTTACCCGCCACATTTCAGCCCCAGTGCCAATAATGCTGATTTCAATCTGTCCAGTCCTAGGGAGGCCAATTCCTATTCAATGCAGCAAATCACAGTAAGATAAAGCTATTAAAAATATAAATAATATGGATGTGTCTTATGAAAAAAAAAAGAGGAAGAAGGAATATGAGCAGCACTAAAGAAATGACTGTCAAGTGGGTGCCACCCCTTACTGAAAAAATGAGGCATGTGCCAAATCTCAACAGAGCTTTCAAGCTGCAGCCCTCTAGCGGGAGAAATTAAATCATCAGCACAACCAAAGTTTCATCCAGAGAGCACAGAGCCAAAAACAAAAGCTGAAGAAGAGAGATGATGGCAAGAAACCAAACGGTTCAGCTCCCATCTGCCCACAATTTAGAAGCACAGCACTGAATACCTACTTCCCAAGAGGAAAACGCTGAGAGATCCAGGTGGGCTCCAGCGTGAGTGAGGGCACTGCTGGTCTCTTTCTGCCAAGAGAAGACATGTGGGACATCTGTGTGACACTCTGCAACTCTTCATGCAATCCAGGTACCCAACACACAGCACAGCATTTCAGTTCACACACAAACACCCCATCGCTCAACCACGCAATGAACTGACAGAAAAGATTAAAAGCAAGCAAACGTTTAAAAAGGCTGCTTGCAAATGCCTTCAAACTCCACCTTTGTGACGTCTTGCTATCAGACTTCACCTCAGCAGTGATTTAACACCAGCAATTCATAAGAAATCCATCACAAATGAAACAAAGCTCTGAATTCACAGCTGCTCACCGGCCAGCCAGGGAATGTTCCGTTCTCCCACTTTTTCTCAAACTCAGTCTGAATTTTCCCAAACAGTTCATTCTGGTCCAGTAACGGTTTCACTCGATCTGTGTACTCCTGTAGGTACTCAAGAAGCATTTCAAGATACCTGGCAGAGTAATTATCAGCACAGACAATAATTCCATATCAGAGTACTGGTAGAACAGTATCAAAGTTATCAAGAGTAGCTTTTAATGCAATAAACTCAAGTACTTCCACAGAATAAGAAGCCCAATGGCTCTCCACATTTTGTTGTGCTTCATGTCCTCTCAGGACTCATTATGACTGAGTTACTACAGCTCAATTTATATCAGCTATGCTTGATTGCTAACTCTGTTCCTGGACACTTGAGAAGCAAATTCCTTCTCATCGACTGTCACAAATGAAGCAGGCAGGACAAAAGGCTCACCTCTTATATTCAGCATTTTTTCTCTCTTTGGGGATGTCAAAGAGTTGGTCAAACGTGGACAGATAAGTGATGTAATCCAGTTTCTAAGAAGAAAACAACAAACAGTTTGAGTCAGACTTTATACACATGCAGCCAAATCAACATCTCATTTCCAGTTACCAGACCAGAAGAAAAGCACAAAGCTCATTTATTCTGCACGGTCTGCACAGGGCTGGGGTTTACCACCTGCTTTTCAAAGCAAAACAAGCATTGTGAAACAGCTATTTGCACATAAATGCCATTTGAAACAAACCAACAACCAACCCACGAAACCAAGAGCCTTCAGCACTGAAGTGCAACACAGCTGAGCGCCCACAGCAACCCAACCTCTCACCTCTGATGATTTCAGATTAATGTATTTCAGATAGCAGTCGTGCAGATCCAAGTAGCGCCCGTACCCTTCTTCATCTGTGAACT